CGGAGGAAGAGATCAACCAGAAGAGCGAGGGCGCGCCCAAGAAGAGGAAGAGAGAAGGAGAGCCTTCCAGCCAAGGGGACAACCGAAAGAAAAAGGATGCAGCTCGGGGGGTAAAGTCGGGTCAGTCGTTTTGAGTCCCTGTAGCGGACCGAAATCCTGATGGCAATCAAGGATGCCCCGTATGTGAAGAGGCCACCCCGCCTGAGGGGGAATCCCAGTGAGTGAAATAAGAAAATGTACTGTAGTTTTCACAGAGATCACGGTCACAGTACCGAAAATTGTAAGAACCTCTGCGATGAGATAGAGGAGCTCATTCGTCACAGATATTTAAGGAATTTTGTACAAAATAATAATAATAATAATAATAAGGTAGGTCGGCAAGGGGAGCACAGTAAGGATGCTCCCGAGTCCAGTAGCAGGCCGGCCGAACAGTCACAAAGGCAGCCTCCGGAAGAGAGACCGGTTCGGGGCACCATCCACGTGATAGTGGGAGGCTCGATCGTTGCAGGTTGTACCTCGGCAACAGCTCGGACGTCAGTTCGCGAAGCTTCCAGGGAAGAACAAAATCCTCCGAAGCAGCCAAAGACAGAAGAACCAATCTTCTTCATGGAGGACGATGCACGAGGGGTCCACTACCCCCATGACGACGCGCTTGTCATAAAGCTAAGGATCAACGACTTCGAGGTCAGGTGCATCCTCGTTGACTCAGGTAGCTCGGCAGATGTTCTCTTCAAAGCCGCGTTCGACCAGCTTCAGTTGCCGGGAAGTGACTTGAGGCCCGTGAACACTCCTTTGGTGGGCTTTAGCGGAGAGGAGGTCAGGCCCCTTGGGAAAGTAACAGTACCTATGGAAGTCGGCACATGGCCCTCCGTAGTCAGACTCAACCACGACTTCCTGGTGGTCGCGACCCCCTCCCCATACAACGCCATAATAGGTCGACCGATCACCCATGTCCTACGGATGGTGGACTTATCATTTGGCAATGAAGTTCCCTACAGACTTCGGTGTAGGGGTAGCGCGGGCCGACCAGCTCGAGTCCCGTAAGTGGTATGTCGCCGCCCTAAAGGGAAAGACCAAGGTGACCGACGACTTCGAACTGGAGTGGCCTACGGAGCAAGGCGAAGAATAAGCTGCACCCACAGAAGAAACTGTCGCTGTTCCGACTTCAGTAGCAGACCCAGCTCGGACGCTTCAGATCGGTGCTTCCATCCAGGAACCTCTACGATCCGAACTGGTAAGTTTCTTACTTCAAAACTTAGATATTTTTGCATGGCCTGCGGTAGAGATGCCCGGTATAGACCCTGACCTTATAACTCACAAGCTCAATACTGATCCTGTAGTTAGGCCCGTTAGACAAAAGAAACGCAACCTAGCCCTGGAGCGGTGGAAAGCGATCGACGAGGAGGTCGCGAAGCTCCTCGTAACTGACTTCATAAGAGAAGTCCATTACCCGAGCTGGGTAGCCAACCCCGTTCTGGTAAAGAAGGCTAATGGCAAGTGGCGCATGTGCGTTGACTACACCGACCTAAACCGAGCCTGCCCAAAAGACTGCTTCCCGCTCCCTAGAATCGACCGCTTGGTGGACGCGACCTCAGGGCACAAGTTGCTGAGTTTCTTAGATGCCTATTTGAGCTATAACCAAATCAAGATGGACCCAGCAGACGAAGAAAAGACTGCCTTCATCACAGAATTCGGTCTATACTGTTACAAGGTTATGCCCTTCGGGTTGAAAAATGCTGGGACAACCTTTCAAAGGCTTGTAAATAAATTGTTTGAGCCATTAATTGGCAGAAAAGTAGAATGTTATGTAGACGACATGGTCGTCAAAACTCAATTCTCACACGAATTAATACAAGACTTACTTTCTGTTTTTCAAATTCTGAGATGATTTAATATGAATTTGAATCCAAACAAACGTATCTTCGGTGTTACCTCGGGTAAATTCCTAGGATACATCGTTAACCGGCGCGGCATTGAGGCCAACCCGGATAAGATTAAGGCCATCTTAGATTTGAGACCACCTCGGAAGTTGAAGGAGGTCTAGAGGTTGAATGATCGCGTAGCCGCCCTGAGCCGCTTCATGTCCAAGTCGGCGGACCGCTGTTATTCTTTAAGGCATTTAAGAAAAAGGGTTCGAATGGACCCGAGACTGCCAGCTCGCATTTGACGAGCTCAAGAAGTACCTCACTTGTGTGTCGATCTTAACCCGGCCCGAGGAGGGTGATGTTTTAGAACTGTACCTCTTGACAAGCGACAAAGTGGTCAGTTCGGTACTAATAAAGGAAGTAGATCGGGTCCAACGACCCATCTATTATGTTAGTAAAGTATTGTAGGGAGCAGAGACGAGATATCCGGAGATAGAAAAGCTAGCATACGCACTAGTAATCGTAGCTCGGAAGCTCCACCCGTACTTCTAGGCTCATACTGTTATCATCCTCACCGACAAACCTCTGAGGCATGTCTTACTTAAGCCCGAGGTCTCTGGTTGATTGACGAAGTGGGCCGTTGAGCTCAGCGAGTACGACCTCCAGTACAAGCCGCAAACTACTATTAAGGCCCAAGCCTTAGCAGATTTCATCGCCGAGTGCACTTTCAGCTTCGAAGTCCCCAGGCCACTTGAGCACGAGATCCCCAGTTCGGGTGAGCTCGAAGCTCCCAGGCTGGTTGAGTCCGAGCCCTGTGAGGTAGCACCTAGTGTGGCATCTCTCTTAGTTAGGCGAAGCGCGAACTGGGATGAGGAGCCCTGGATCATTCATGTAGATGGCTTCTCAAACCAACTGGGTAGCGGAGCCGGAATAGTTCTACATGACCCAAGTGGCACGAAATTGGAGTACGCGCTACGCTTCGAGTTTGTGGCATCCAACAACGAAGCGGAATACGAGGCGTTGATCGCTGGACTAGCTTTAGCTAGAGAGGTAAAAGCCAAGCACATCGTCATCTGCAGTGATTCTCAGCTCGTAGTGAACCAAGTCACAGGAGATTACGAAGCTCACGAACCAACCATGGTGGCTTACTTATTCAAAGTAAGAGAAGCTCTGCTCAACTTTCAGTCACACTTCATCAGGCAAATCCCGAGGTCGAAGAACGCTGAGGCCGACGCCCTGTCCAGGTTAGATAGCACCAGTGATATCACCATGAGAACCGTGTACATAGAGGACCTGCCTCAGCCTAGCATTCTCGGGGGGGGGGGGGGCAGAGGAGGCGCTCCTGTCGTTCAAGGAGAGCCGATCTGGATTGACCCGCTCGCGAGCTTCTTGCTACATGGGACCCTCCCTGCAGATCGCAATGCGGCCAGAAGGGTAGAGCGCCAGGCAGCCAAATACGCCATAATAGACGAACGGCTGTACCGGAGATCCTACATGCTCCCTACCTGTGATGCCTGTGACCTACCGAAGCCGAGCTCGTACTCCGCAACACTCATGAGGGTTTGTGCGGTGGACACTTGGGGGGCAGGGCCCTCGCCCAAAAAGCACTACGACAGGGGTATTATTGGCCAACAATGAAGGTAGATGCCATCGAGCTCGTCAGAAAATGTGACAAATGCCAGAAGCATGCCAATATCCACCACCAACCTGCTGCCGACCTCAAGTATCTCACCAGCCCGTGGCCTTTCGCACAATGGGGAATCGACATACTTGGACCGTTCCCACCAGCGGCAAGCCAGAGGAAGTTCTTAGTAGTAGTAGTGGATTACTTCACCAAGTGGGTAGAAGCTGAACCTCTTGTAACAATCACAGCCCGAAACGTCCAACACTTCTTTTGAAAGAACATTGTGTGCCGCTTCGGGTTACCTCGGGTGTTGATTTTTGACAACGGCAAATAGTTCGAGGACATCAAATTCCAGAACTGGTGCCAAGAGATGGGAATCCGACAGAATTTCACTTCAGTCGCACATCCTCAAGCAAACGGTCAAGCAGAAGTCACAAACAGAGCTATCCTTCGAGGAAAAAACTGCCACAGGAGAGACTCCCTTCAATCTCACCTACGGCACTGAAGCAGTTATCTAGGCAGAAATTGAAGTACATACGCTACGACTGGAAGCATACAATGATAAGACGAATGAAGATGAGCTACGTACCAACCTCGATCTCCTCGACGAAGTAAGGGACCTTGCGTACATCAGGATTGCAGCTTACCAGCAGAGAGTAGCTCGGTACTATAACGCTAGGGTTAAGAAGCGGAACCTCCGCGTCGGCGACCTGGTCCTGCGTAAAGTTATGGTACCTGAGCCCGATGTTGGCAAGCTCAGGTCCAATTGGGAAGGACCTTACCGAGTGAAAAGAGTGCTCGGGGAAGGAACATACGAGCTCGAAACCCTCGAAGGAAAATAGGTACCTCGGGCATGGAATATTGTCAACTTAAGATAGTATTACCTGTAACAACTGAGTAGGCTACGAGCCACTCCTAGAGCCTAAGGGCCAAGATGCCGGGCTAATATGGTCTCGGCACTATAAGACCCTATCGCCTCTTCGGCACAGGTGAACTCTAGGAGAACGGACTATAAGCCGCTCCTCCAGCCTAAGGGCTAAAACGCCGGGCTAATGGAAGACCCCGACACCACATAAGACCTAGCCGCCTCATCGGCATAGGCTAAGTATTTGTGATGCCTAAGGTGCAAGTAGCTCGGGTACGAACCTTGTGATGCATAGCCCACCCCGGCATGCAACAGGTTGGACCCGCTAAGGACAACCGATGTCAACTCAAACCAGGCGCAGACAGATCGGGCACATACCCTACTATGTTACTCACCTCGGTGTACATAAGGCTACCCCTTCTAAGTATTGGAATACAGTTCGGGGTCACGACAGTTGAGGAACCCTCACTTCGGGTAATTAGCCTGATAGCCTAACAGTTTAGGATAAAATAATCACTTCAGCAAGTAAAGAAATTGCACAAGCGTTTAGCGAAGTGAATTTTTTATTATGAAAATTTCATTACAAAAGGTTTTGTTACAAGAAAAAGAAAAAGAGAAGATTAAGCTTGCAAATACAAGGACTGAGCTATTTTGGAGGCTCGTTGTCTTTGCCAGGGACCTCCTCGGGGGCAGTAACCGGGCCAGTAGCCTCTACTTCATCATTGGCGCCTTCGTCCTCAGAGTCCGGATCATCCGCCGACTGACGCACTATGTCATCAGTGATCCGGGAAGTGGTGATGGCACTTGTGTCCAGACCGGGGTAGAGGTGTCTAATCAGCCACCGGCTGAGCTTGAAGCCCTTGCGGTAGGCCTCGGTCATCACTTCATCAAATCTTGAAGACTGGACATAGTCGATAACTGCTCGAACCTTAGTCTCCTTGAGGGCATCCTCGAAGATCTCGGTCTTCTCTTTGAGGTCGGCTCGGAGGTACTCCACCTCGCGCTCCAACTTCCCTTTTGCTTCCTTGAGGCCCTGCACCTCGAGTTTCAGGGAGTCCCAGTCTGCCTCGAGACCGTCCCGGTCTGCCTTGAGACTGTCTCGGTCTGCCTTGAGACTGTCAACCTCAAGCCTCAAAGCTTCTTGGATGACATTAAACCCGTTCACTTCGGCCCTCAGTCTGTCCTTGTCTCGGGCCAGCCCGCTCTTCTCCGCCAATAGCACTTCAATAAAGCTCTTATGAGCTGAGGCATCGTTTTGCAGGCGGTGGATCTGACCGCGAGCTGCCCTCAGCTCGGTATGGGCTGCGCGTGACGACTTCTCAGCTTCCAAGGCTCGTTTCAGATGCCGATCAGATTGAAAGGTCAAAGCACGCACGACTGAGTTCACCTACAAGAAGGAGACCAGTCAAAAAAAAAAAAAAGAAAGAGAGGAGAGTCTTTCACAGGGAACTCACCACCATGGTATGAGAAGCAGCCCGGGCACCGAGCTGACTAGGAGTGAGATCAGCCCATTCCGTGACCTTCTCCGGGTATGCGGCCTCCTTGCTCTTCTGGAGACTACACCGGGGGTTCAGAATACTTTCACCCCCTGGCTCTCCGAGCTAGACGCCATCATCTCTGCCGCATGGGCGGACTCCTTGGATGCCTCGGCGGCGGCACCAATAGAGCAGGCCCCGGCTGTAGCCCTTGTAGGGCGTGCCTTAGGAGCGGCTTTTGTAGCACCTCTGGCAGCTGTCTCGGCAGGCTTAGTGGTGGGCTCTGCCGCTGTCTTAGGTCCCTGAGGCGCCACGTCCTCCTCCAGATCGATGATGGGTTGAACGCCAGGGAGCTCGGGCTTCGGAACCGGAGCCTGTGAAGGCTGAGCCTCGGCGGAGGCCTGCGGAGACTCAATGCATGCCTTCTTGGCTACGCGCTTCTTTCTCTTCATTTGGCGGAAGAGCCTTTGACCGTCAATCTTCTCCGCCTCCATGGGACCTGCAGTGAAGCTCGACGTTAGTAATCCCGAAGTAAATATATGGACAAAAAAGCCGAAGTTAGGAAAAACCTACCCGGACTCAAGCCGGGCTGGATGAGCTTCTCCTCGGTTGTGAAGTCTTTGTAATTTAACCCGTGCTGAGCCCACGACTGGAGTGACTTCTTGGTCTTCCCATCGAGGATGACACCTGGGTCTTGAACGGCCACCCTCCAGTCAGTAGGGAAGGGCCACCCCATGCTGCTCTGAACTACGAAGTAGTCCCGCTTCCAGGCCGGGACTTTACTCGGGAGCTTGTGCATGAGTTTAAAACCCGGGCGGGGAGATAGGTAATAGGCTCGTCTGTGCCCGGGGAGAGTGCCCGAAGCACTCTTCTTTATAGCCAGGATGGTGTTGAGGATATCTAGGTCAATAGGGAGAGAACAGTCGAAGCAAAGAGAAATGATCCCAACCACATTCCGTATGGAATTCGGCTGAAGTTGTTCCAAAGTGATGTTAAAGTGCACCAACACCTCAACAATCAGGGGATGAAGAGGAAGTTGGAGCCCGGCAACCAGTTGCTCCCTGAAGACCACGATCTCGTTGGGACCGTGCTCCCATGAAAAGCTACTGGTAGGAAGACTATAAGAGTACTCCCCAGGAAGTTTGAACCTCTGTATGAGGTCCTGGAGTCTCTCCAAAGTCATGATGGAAGGGCCGAACTGATCTGGCGCCCGACCTCGGTGGGAGGTGGAGGCCAGATGACCCGAAGTCGCCCGTACATCGGACGGCTGGGCAGCTGAAGAGCCACCTTGAGCCGAGGTACCCACCTCGGGCTCGTCGATGAGGCTATCTACGCTAGATGACATTACAAGGCGAAAAGGAAAGAATATTCGGAAAAGAAAAAAGAAGCTCGGAGACTCACCACAAGAAACGCGAACTGAACTAGGGGAACAAACCGAGCTAGAAGACCCGAGCTGGGAACCTTAGACGTGAGCTCAACACTGACGCTGGGACTTTGTGGCGAAGAAATGACCAAGGGTCCCCCACTATTTATAGCCGCTGCACCCAGGTGTTAACGGTCAAGATGGAGACGATCCAACGGCTCTAAAAAAAAACCTGCTACGAGTTCCTCGAGGTGAAATCAGTTTAGCGCATTTTCTGGCATCCACGAAGTCCGAATCGCGTGATGTCCGCACGTAAACTGAACGCGACCCGGGTTCCCTTTGACTGAGCCAGGAACTAGACCGGTCCAGCTAGGTGAAACGCGTGACGAAGCGGTATGAGTACCAATGCCAAATCCCCCCGGCGCAACATGAACTCCCCGCGTTGGGTCAACACCGCCAGCACAGGGAGTGGGGGGCAATTGATGGAGGGTGATTTGGCCCGACCTCGTAGCACGGGTACACGTTAACGTGACCTTGCTCAAGCGATGACTTAGCGTAGCAGCAACTCGGAGGGAAGGTCCCACCGAGTTCAGCCCGGCAACCCGGCGGGATAGGCTACTCGCTAGGAGCCGCCTAGCCTGCACGTCCTCCCCGAGGCTAAGGCACCCCAAGCTGCCTCCGAGCTCGGGGTCCCCTGACCTTGCCTAATACCCGAGCTCCTCCCAGTGAATCTCAGGCCACTCCCAGACAGGAACACCCAGACCCGCCTCTAGGTACCCCGAGGTGAGGACACCTCGGGCCAAACAACTCGGCATAGCTTGCCACAGGCAGCTTGCCGCTTGCGGGATAGCCCGACACAGGGTAACTCGTGAAAGGGCAGTTCGGCATATCGCAGGAAGATCTCCTGCCCGACTACCGTACCTGACAAATCTGGGGACAGCAACCACGTCCCTCGTCAGACAGTGTCGTGCCTGACACATTTAGAGGGTGCCTTACACCTGACAGGCACATACCCTGCAATGACGGCCCCGCGCATGCCACCTCAGCTCTGCCTGTAATGGCTGCGGCAGGCTGACAGTGGCGGTTATACCTGCCCAGTCAGAGGCTAGTGGGTCTGATACAACGGAATTCTGTTATAAGGAGCCTACTTTCAAAGAACAGGGGTAACTTCGATCACTCCCGCTATCTGCACTCTTAGCTTTGATCCTCTCCTTGCTTCTTCCACATAATACTAACTTAAGTGTCAGAGTGTTCCCATCGGGCAAGCCCCCGGGGATCCTTCTTCTTCTCCATCTCAAGTACCTTTCAGGAGCCACGCAAGTGCCAGGTAGGAGTGATCGGATTGCGCACCATCAATTGGATTGGATTTATTGAACCAATATCCAGTAACCAGTCCATTGATAGAAGATAAAAGCCCATGAGTTAATGAACCATGTTTGGGTTGGACCCAGTCTAAATTAAAATCAATTTGATCAAATTGGACGGACCAGACATGGAATTGGACAGGTCCAAAATAATCCAAAGTACGTAATAATCAGATTGGATTGTACCCGGTCCATCTGCAACAGACTCACATTGACTGAGTTGGGTTGGACCAATATCCGGTCCATTGACAGCCCTACTGAATGGGACCTAATTAGTTGCAGGAGACTGATCATACTCTAGTCTCTAGTCTGCAGCAACAAATCTCCGATGTCCATTGCATCTAAAAATCTTATCTTGTCTTACTTCTGCAAGGGTGCATGTTTTGCTGCACATATTCATGCAAACCTTGGTGCCCTTCTCTCCCTTCTAATGTTCCAATGAACTTGTCTTTTTACGTCATTTGGTGGACAAGATTGTACAATAAGTATTGCAATCACAAAATAAACATATAAGATGAGAGGAGGGAAGAGATGAAGTTAGTTAATATCATGCATGCATAGAGAACATTGTTCTTTTACCTGATAATTAAGTGATAATGCCTCCAACGATGACCCAATTGTACCCAACAAATTAACACAGATTGATTAAAACCAATGCTCAAAATCATCTTGAGCTAGCAGAAGCTTCTTTGCCATCTATATTACACCATCACGTACGGTTGGAAATCCAATAAAGTGTGCATTCTATTTCAGAATTCAGAGTGGGAATACAGAGGAAAGGGATCCCGTACGATTCAGTTCAGTCCGTTGTTTAAGGTGAATATACAATAACTGTTCCCGCTCAGAGCTGAGTAGTCGTTCAACCTCATTTTTGAAGCTAAGCCACATCTCAGCAGTCAGCATCGTCCTCTCCTCTCCTGCGTGCCAGTGGATTTGAAATAGTGTGCTAATTCCTTTATGGCTTTAAAGTTTAAACATAGGACCATAAGAGCTTGTTGAATTGTATGGTCTTTTGCGTTTTGTTTGCTGGTTTAATTTGGGAAGAGTTCAAATATAAAAATATATTCAGCCCAAAATCTTACATGCGCTTGCTACCCACAAGCTCCCACATCCCTACCCAGTAGATATAAATATCTCCCTTGTCATTCATGGGGGAGATAATTCCCAATATACATTGCGGTGGTGTTCCTACTAACCAGCCAGCGTGTGGGTTTCAAGATAACCCCGACAAGAGATGTACAGAAATATGGATTTCAGTCTATCACTTTCTGATGTAGCGCGATTTGGTCATTCTTACCTGGTGGTGGCATGGCTCCTAGCTGGCGAAGGATAATACATGAGATGGAGAAGACAGTGAAGGATTCCCGGGGAGTTTGTCCCGCAGGAATACTTCAACGATCAAGTTAGAACTCTGAGAGAGAATTGCAGAGAATACAAGGAGAGCTAAGAGTGCAGATAGCGCAAAATCAATTACCTTTTCTCTCAGGGGGTTGGAGTCCTTATATAATGGTGTTCTGTCAAATCTGACATAACCACCTCTGATTCTCTGCCGCAGCCGTTACTTGCCAGGGCTGTGCAGGTCACTGTTGCAGGGTACGACTCTGTCATACGGGAGACACCTCTCAGGCTTGGCAGGCACGACGCCACCTGGCGAGAGACGTGGGTGCAGGGTTCCAGGTTTGGCAGGTACAGTTGTCAGGGAAGATCTTCCTGTGATACGCCGAGCTGTCTTCTTTCGAACTACCTTGCACCGAGCTACCCTATGTCAAGCTGGAGGTGCCATACTGAGGTTATTCTACCCGAGGCGGCCTACTTAGGCATGTCGGAACAAATGTTAGGGGGCTCTCGAGCTCACCCCGAAGTGCCTTGAGCTCGGGAGATCCCTGTCTTGCAGTACCCTGGCTTGGGATGCCTGTGGAAGAATCTTAGCCCGGGGTGTTCCCTTCTTGAGGAAGAGCCCGGGGGCTCCCTTACCGTGGAGGAGCTCGGGGGCTCCTTTACTTAGGAGGAGCTCAGGAGCTCCCTTACTGTGGAGGAGCTCGGGGGCTCCTTTGCTTGGGAGGAGCTCGGGATAATCGGAGTGTTACCCAGTGCCGAGCTTCCACGCAGGATCTTGGCGGACTGGTCGCGCTGAGATGTCACTTATGCTGAGTCACGCCCACGTGTCCCCCTAAGATGAGGTTGGGGCAACTCACCCTCCATCAGTTTCTAATACAAATGTCTGAAATCCCAACCTATAGAGCCGACTTCCAATATGAGTTTGAAGCTGAACTATCCTAGCAATCTTAATTTCATTCTTCTTATAAAGTGTTATTGCCTTGGATGGGTCGAGGGCAATAAAGTAAATTCGCTTTTAAACCGAGGACTGATTGATGAATCCAAGGTCCACTGTGGTAGAGAGCCTATAGGTCAGTCTTGTGAAGAGATAGAAGACGTCAGAGGCCCCAGATGCCAATTTGAGGTGAGGACTCTGACGATCAAATTAGTAAAGGTGCGGCAAGAGGTGGACGAGGCCTGAATTAGGAGTGCTCAGATGAGGCCACAAGGGAGAAAATGAAATCCTCCGTAGTGAAGAGTCTAGATATTCATTCACCTTGGAGAAGTCACCTCCTATTTATATTTGAGACCGCTTGAAAGTAGGTGGGCATGGACGACCAAGATGCAGCCCGGCCGTGTCGTGCAGCCATCCGAGGCCGCTGTATCTGATCACGCCATTAGTCCCGCATCACACGCTGGCCTTTGCACTGGGCGTCACTCCCATTGGGTC